TTTGGGTGGTTGGCTGGCCCAGTGGTCTGAACCCTTGACCCTGGTGTTATAACACTGTGCTGTAACCAGCAAGCCCCTCAATTGATTTTTGATGAAGATGTGCCTTAGGTTGAATATTGCCCCCAAACTTAATCCTCACTGTAACTATTGAGGGTGAGAAATCCTATTATGATAATGGAAAGGTGAGGCCTTGAAGAGATGATTAGATTGTAGGACCCTACTGTAGTGAGTGGATTAAAAATGGTGGTCAGGGGCCTGGTTCTGAGGGTTTTAAAAGAAGAGTGAATGAGGAGATTGGTCTCTCTCTGCTTCCACCATTTTGCAATGTGAGACCCCCTCGGTCACTGTTGCCACCACCAGATGTGTTCCTTGGACTTTGGACTTCCCAGTCTCAGAAACTGTAAGCAATAAATTTCATTTTCTTTATAAAATACCCAGTTCCAAGTATTTTGTTATAAGCAACAGAAATGGACTAATACAAGGTACAAAGGCAATTCAGTAGAGAAAGGATAGTCTTTTCAATAAATACTGCTGGAATAATTGGATATCCACATAGAAAAAAAGGAGCTTTGATCCACATTCACACCATATATAAAAATTAACTAAAAATCAATCATAGATTTCAAAAAATTACTAATGCATAACCTTAATTTAACAATGAGTAAACATCAGACAAAATGAAATTGAGGAACATTATGTGAAATAATTGGCTTATATGCTTCAAGAAAAACTGAATAGCTGTCTTTGGTTGGTGAGACTAAACAGACATGACAAATAAATGTAATATGGGATCCTGGATTGGATCCTATACAAGAATAAGGACATTAGTTGAATAACTGGCAACATTTGAATAAGGTCTGTAGCTTCTTGGTTGCTTTGGCTAAAAGAAAAGAAAAGAAAAGAAAAGAATGAATAAGGTCTGTAGATTACTTATTGCACCAGCAGTATTGTAGCAATGTTAATATCCTGGCTTCAATGATTGCACTACGGTTACATAAGATGTTGACACCAGAGAAAACCAGGTGAAAGGCATATGGAATTCCACATACTATTTTTGCAAGTCCAAAATTGTTTCAAAATAAAACATTTAAAAAACTAATTATAGACTTAAATGAAAACCTAAAACATACAACTTCTAGAAGAAAATATAGGAGAACATATTGGTGACTTCAGGTTAGGCAAAGATTTCTTAAATAGAACACCAAAGCATGATCCATAAAATAAAAACTTGATAAATTGTACAACTTCACAATTAAGAACTTCTACTCATTGTGTGACACTGTTAAGAGCATGACAAGACAAGCCACAGACTGGAAGAAAATACTTGTAAATCACATAACTGATGAAGAATTTGAGTCCAGATTATATAAAAGAACTTTCAAAATGCAATAAGAAACAACTCAATTTTTTAAAATGGGCGAATGATTTGAACAGACACTTCACCAAAGAAGATACATGGATGACAAATAAGCCTGTGAAAAAAATGCTCAACATCATTAGTCATTAGGGAAATACAAATCAAAACCACAAAGAGATACTGCTTCATACCCACTAGATGGCTATAATAAAGACAGTAACAAGTATGGTGAGTATGTGGAGAAATTGGAACCCTTACACATAGTGGTACATACCTATGAGAATAGCTAAAATGAAAAAGAATTACCATACCAAGTGTTGACAAAGATGTGGAACAACTGGAACACTCATACACTGCTGATAGGAATTTAAAATGATACAATTTGGGATGGCCCGTGGCTCCTTCGGGAGAGTGCGGTGCTGATAACACCAAGGCCATGGGTTTGGATCCCTATATAGGGATGGCCGGTTAGCTCACTCACTTTGGAGAGTGTGGTGCTGACAACACCAAGCCAAGGGTTAAGATCCCCTTACTGGTCATCTTTAAAAAAAAAAAAAATAAATAAAATAAATAAATAAATAAATAAATAAATAAAATGATACAACCACTTTGTAAAAGTTTGGCAGTTTCTCAAAAAGTTAACCATATGTATTAGTCCATTTCTGTTGCTTATAACAAAATATGTGGAACTGGGTAATATATAAAAAAGTGAAAGTTATTGCTTACAGTTTCAGAGGCTGAAAAGTCCAAAGTCTAGGGAATATATCTGGGGAGGGTCTTCTTTGGTGGTGGCTTTACAGCAGTGTAGGGGGGTCTTCCATGGCAGAAAATGGTGGAGCAGAAAGAGAGATAGTTCTTCATGCCCTCTCCTTTTAAAGCTCTCAGAACCACGCCCCTGACCACCATTAAACCATCAAATTAATCACCTCTTCAAGGCCCCACCTTTCAATTACCATAATAGAATTTCCTACCCTCATCAGTCACAGTGGGAATTAAATTTCTTTTTTTTTTTTTCCTTTTTGTCTTTTTTACTGACCGGTAATGGGATCGCAACCCTCGGTGTTGCACCTGCACCGCGCTCAGCCAGTGAGCAGGAACCGGTCTCCACATGGGATCCGAACCCTCGGTGGGAGCGCTGCCGTGCTCCCAAGCGGCGCACTCTCCAGTGCGCCACCGGGCCGGCCCAGGGAATTAAATTTCTAATGTATGGACTTTAAGGGGCACAATTCAAACAATCCACAGCACCATACATTTACCATGTGACCCAGACATTCACTCCTGGATATTTGCCCAATAGAAAATAAAATATATGTCCATACAAAGACTTGTACATGAATGAATATTCACAGTAACTTTATTTGCAATAGCCAAAAACTGGAAACAACCAAATGTCCATCAGCAGGTGAATGGACAAACACATTGTGATATATCCAAACAATGGCATACTATTCAGCAATACAAAGGAATAACTACTGATACAAGCAACAACATGGATAAATCTCAAGATAATTAGGCTGAATAAAAGAAGCAAGACCCCCCCACACCCAAAGAGAGCATTTACTATAAGATTCTCCTTATATGCCATTCTAGAAAATGCAAAAACTAGGCTAGTGACAAAAAGCAGATTAGAAGTTTCCTGGAGGGCTGGCTTGTGGCTCACTCGGGAGAGTGTGGTGCCTGATAACACCAAGGCCACGGGTTCGGATCCTATATAGGGATGGCCGGTTTGCTCACTGGGTGAGCGTGGTGCTGACAACACCAAGTCAAGGGTTAAAATCCCCTTACCGGTCATCTTTAAAAAAAAAAAAAAAAAAAAGTTTCCTGGAGATGGGAAGATTGGAGGGAGGTATTACAAATGGGCATGAAGAAACTTCTGGGAGGGATGATAAGGTCACTATCTTGATTGTGGTGCTATTTTCATGAGCGTATTCATAATTTATCAACGTGTACTCCTTAAATATGTATGGTTTCTTGTATGTTAATTATGCCTTGGGCTGGCTAGTTAGCTCAGTTGGTTAGAGCATGGTGTTGATAACACCATGGTCAAGGGTTCAGATCCCACCCTGGTTTGAATACAGGCCAGCTACCAAAACAAAAATGAATGAATGAATGAATAAATGAGTAAATAAATAATAAAGCCTCAGTAAAGCTGTTTAATCAAATACCTGTAGATGCCAAGAACAAATTACCAGGTACGTCCTGAGAATGTCAATTGATGGAGCATCCACCAAAAGGGCCAGCCTCATACCTGGAACTCGAAGATGAGAAAATCCTGAGTAGAATCACCAACCATCAATAACACTTTGGAAATACCTTCTGCCATCTCTCTCCATCTCAGACCCTACCCATGTACCTAGTTTCTGGAAAAAGACAGGGTGTGGGATAATCACGACTCCGAGAGCCACACTGACCAGTCCCTCTCCAACTGTCTTTGGGAAGAGCTGAGCTGAGGCTTGAGGTATTTTCATAACTCAGGAAGAGGAGTAGAAGAGAAGCAATGAAGGAATCCGAAGGAAATGGAGATGAGTTGGGGAGGGTAGCTATGCAGAACTGTGTAATCTCAGGGCTGGAAGGGAGCTAGAATAACGCATGCACCAATAATTCTTGTTTATGAATGAGAACACCAAGACCTTGACCTTTTAGTCACACAGAATTGGAGCTCTAATCTAGGTTTCTCTATTTCCTGTCTGTACTTATTTCCATCACGCCAAATGGCCACTGTGTATAGGATTCTAGATGATGGCTTCCCTTTCATTCAACACTTTACAGTACCTATTATAAGAATAGGATAGGTCCCCAGGTCTGAAGGACATAACAGTCTAGCAGAGACAGAGACACAAATGATTTTAATAATAAAAGCAAGGCTGTAATAAGTATTATAAATGAGATGCTACAGAGGAGGGGAAAATCTGTCTGGAATAGAGAGATTCGGTGATGGGAGGAACTACGGGGAGTCCTCATCCAGGACTCCAAACTCCCCAGAAGAGCAATAAACATCCTTCAGCAGGCGTTCAATAAGTGTTAGTGTCCTTCCTCCCTTTACGTTCTTTCCTTTAGTCTTACCAAATCCCTCTGTTCTTGAACAGCATGCCACTGTGCTTTTTGCAGTCGAAGTTCTCTCCTCCTGGAATGGAACGCCCTTCCCAGAATGAACTAATGGTGACATGAAATGGAGCTTGGAAAAGCATAAAGCATATGGTAACAGTTAAGAGCCCGGGCTATGGCGGCCAGCCGCCGGCTCCTCGTCTGTAAAAAGGTGATAATAATATTTATTTCATAAGGTTGTTGGGTGGATTAAAAGGGCATTTCTGTAAAGCTTTCAGCATCACGTCTGGCCCAGAAGAAGCGCTCAAGAAATACTCGCAGTTTGTATGAGCGCGCCGACCTTCGTCGCCCGCCCCGCGCCAAGCAAGAGCCGCCCGTGACCGCCTCTCGGGTGCCCTGGGCACTCAGCGCGGCGTCCTAGCCGCCACGTCGCCTCCTTCCACCCTCCGGGCGCCTGGGTTTACCAGACCCGACCCAGAGGTAGGTACCCGGTGTACCGGGCCGCGCCCCACATCCTGCCTGCATCCTCCGATTGGCTGCCTCAGGTGCCCGTCTTCGTAGATCGCTTCAGATTGGCCGAGGTGGGTGAGGGGCCGAGCCTCGGGGAGCGTAGGAAGGGCGGGGTCCCGGATGTGTGTGGTGGCGAAGGCCGAAGAGCTCGTGTGCGGAGCTGAGAGGCCTATGGATGAGGAGGACGCGGCGGCCCCGGTAGGCGGGGATCGGGGGCGGGGTCCCGGAGGCCTCGGGTCTCCCCGGAGCTCGAGGAGCCCGAGGCTGGAGGCGGGGGTCCTGGGCGGGGGCTCCGAGGCCAGGGGCGGGGCCTTGCGCTCTGGTTATTGGGCTTCTTCCCTCGGCGCACCCTCGGCTGGGGCCTGAGGAGAATGGGCGTAGTCATACTGACCGGCTGGTGCTCCCTTGCCCCCGGGTCTTGCCTGAGCGACCAGGCTGTGCCCCAGAGTGGAAGCAGGGCCCAGTGCGGCTGCCACTTGCCAGTGCTAAGGTTGTGGGGTTCTGGGCAACCACATGCTTTTAGGTCTGGGGCACCAGCATCTACCTGGGGTCAAGCCCTGGCTGAGTGCCTGAGAGGGGATTCCTAGGGCTGCCCCACAGGTGCTTGCTCCTCTGGGCCACGTGGTGGGTTTAGCTACTGCAGGAGAGCCGTAATATTCTCATTGGGATTGAATTTATCCCAGCCAAGACTTAACTGAGCACCTACTGTGTGCAAGGCACTCTCAGGCCTTGGTGGAACCCCTGTCCCAGGATTTGGGGATTGGGAAGAAAAGAGTACTTCACCTTTTTCTCACTTTTGGCCCCCAGGAAAAATTTATTCATTCATTCATATGTTGGCACTGCTGGTTGTTTAAATATCTGGATCATCTCACTCCTCTCCATCTTCACTGCTACCATCTTCATGGATGCCATCTTTTATCAGAACTGCTGGGATGGATGAAAATGGGATGAATTGCTGGGAGTGGGGGAAAGGGGAGTTACTCAAAGGGGGCTGAGGCTCTAAGAGATAAAAGATATCGGAATCAGAGAAAAAGACAGGACACTCAGAGGGAGAACTGGGGACACTGGGGGCCTACTTTACCATGATTACTTAGAAAATTATTTTCAAGCTTTGGGAAAAAGTGCTGTAGCTGCCCCCTCTTCCTGGAATGCCCTTTCTTGGATTTGCCACATGCTTGGCTTCTTTTCAACTCAAATGTCACTTCCTCAGAGAGACCTTTTCTGTCTACTCTCTTCCCCCACCCCCTTCATCACATCACACTTTTTTCCTCCACTGTATGAAATTGTCACTTCTATTTGTTGTCTGTCATACCCCCTGCCACCACTAGAATGGAATCCCTATCAAACCAGGAACCCCATCCATTTTGTTCACAGCCATATTCCTAGCACCTAGAACAGTACCCATAGTAGGAGCTCAGTAAATGTTTGTTGAATGACAGGGTGAAGCTGGGGATTGTTGAGGTTAATCTGGGCATCTGGCCTCAACTCCAGTGACCTCCACATTCTGGGTGGAGCAGGCTGAGGTGCTTGCTCAAGGTCCTGCTTCCTCCTCAATCCCCATCTCCCCTTGGCAGGTTTGTTCTCATGAACAAGATGGATGACCTCAACCTGCACTACCGGTTTCTGAATTGGCGTCGACGGATCCGGGAAATTCGGGAGGTCCGGGCTTTCCGATATCAGGAGAGGTTCAAACACATCCTTGTAGATGGAGATACTTTGAGGTAAGTTTAGGAAAGTGCTCCCACATTTTCCTTTCTGTTCCTGATCTTAGAGATGAAAAGAGGCTGTTTAAGAGGAAGGGGACTGTCTACCTACACTGGGAGGGGAGAAGCTCTTGACCCGGAGGCCTGTCTGAGTGGAGCAGTGTGTACTGCTTCATCTTGCACTCCCTCCTGCTTCTGTCACTGGGTGGCTCTGTCCTGGTCCAGCAAGAAAGGGGGCCTGCATGGATCTGTGCGAGTTGGGCATTGGAAGTGATCATATCAGATATAGGAGGCTGCTGGGATCTCAGGAGTTCCCCAAGTGGTTTGTTGAGAAGACTCCAGAGGGTCTATGGGGTGTCTGAATCTTCTGCCTACGTCTCAGGAATTAGGTTTGGCAAAGAGTGACCATTTCAAAGGCAGTGGATTTCCTGTTTTAGGAAGGACAGTTCTGTAGTGCTTCCTGCCCCTCACTTCCCATGTCTTTCCAACCCTTTGGTTTGTGCATGTTTGTTTTCTCTCTCTTTTCTGGCTTGAGTCCCATCCCTGATTCTTTCCAAGCCTAATTCTCTCACAAAGTTGTCACTGAAAGGGGAAGAAAGTAGTGTTATTTAGCCTGGAGGCAAGAAAGCTGAGGAGTGGGGACTGAATAACTGTTTTCCAGTCTATGAAGGGCTTTTGTACATTGGGTAGAGACCAGCCATTCTCCAGCTTCACTGAGGACAGAGGAAAAGGGCTGAAGCTGCAGCATGAGGGATTGAGGTTAGACAGGATTGTGAGACCCCTAATAGGCAACTAAGGGAGACTCTACATTCTTTTCCCCCTGGAAATGAAGAAACCAGGCTTGCATTGGTCTGGTGTGGGTTGGACCCTGGCTGGAGGCAGCAGGAGGGGTGGGTTGACCTTAAGTATCTTGACCTTAAGTATCTTGCTGTGGTGTCTGTGCAGATGTCCTGAAGTGTGGCCTGATGGATTCTCCTCTGTGCTGGCCCTTGCAGGGTGGGGATTGGGAGTGCTGAGGCCCTCCCCCCAACTCCTGGGCTAGGCTGCTAATGGACCCCCCATTCCTTCTTCAGTTACCATGGAAACTCTGGTGAAGTAGGCTGCTACGTGGCTTCTCGACCCCTGACCAAGGACAGCAATTATTTTGAGGTGATCGGGGCAGTGGGTGGGCAGAGCAGGGGGTGAGATCATTAAGCTCCAAGGAGCTCCTTTACTACATTCATGACCTGGTCCATTTAATTTTCCATTAGGGCTGTCCTGTTGGCTAGGAAAAGGGTGCAGGATTGATTAGCCCCTGATCTGAGAGAGAGGTACCCTGGGGTCCTGTCACCCTGCCCCTTCTGCTCTCTTGCCCTTCACCAAGTAGACTTTGACCCTTGTCCTTTCCTACCCCCTAAACCAATGCAGCATCTACTCCATCTCCTATCTTTTTCCAAAGCTTGGAAATAATTTTCTAAGCAGTCATGGTAAAGTAAGCCCCCAGTGTCCCCAGTTCTCCCTCTGAGTGTCCTTTTTCTCCGATTCCGGTATCTTTTGACTCTTAGAGCCTCAGCCCCCTTTGATCTCTAACTCCCCTTTCCCCCACTCCCAGTAATTCATCCAGTTTTCATCCCTGCTGACTGTGCCCTGTTGTCTTTCTTCCAGGTGTCTATTGTAGACAGTGGAGTCCGGGGCACCATTGCTGTAGGGCTGGTCCCTCAGTACTACAGCTTGGATCACCAGCCTGGTTGGTTGCCCGACTCTGTAGCCTACCATGCTGATGATGGCAAGTGAGTTGCCTCCTTTGGAACCTGATCCCTTTCCTATGGATTTGGGAATCTCAGATATAAAAGACTAACTCAGGGTGGTTTTTCCCATTTCTTCACCTATCTTGGGATGTTCTCATAGACTTTGCTAGTCAGGACAGGGAGGTGGCCTGGCTGCTACTCATAGAGGTTTTCAGATAGTGAGGAGGGTGGTGCTCATGCCAGGATGTAGGTGGGTACCATCACAGAGTGATTAGTAGAAGCAAGATGCAGCTGCAGCTGTCAGTGCTGGGGAGAAGTTCGGAGGCTAGGCTTGGGTCCAGTGTCCATGCTACTCTGTCCACAGGCTATACAATGGCCGAGCCAAAGGCCGCCAGTTTGGGTCCAAGTGCAACTCCGGGGACCGGATTGGCTGTGGCATTGAGCCTGTGTCCTTCGATGTTCAGACTGCTCAGATTTTCTTCACCAAAAATGGGAAGCGGGTAAGTGGGAAATTCCAGGTGGGATTTAAGTGGCTTGAAGCTCCCTAAGGATTTGTGGGAGTGATTAGGAAGAATCTGCTGGCTGGGGCCTGCCCAGGGGCCCATGTGCTCAGTTCTCATATCCTTCAGTTCAGCCTCAGAGTCTCCTGAAGTCTCCTGTGTATAGAAGACACCTTCCCTGCCCAGGGGAAGCTGGGACATTACCCAGATGATAGGTGTAGAGGGGTAGCATCTGTGCCTCAGCACTTTCCTGCTCCAGTACCTCCAGGAGTATTTGGCAGCAAGTCAAGAGACTTGTGTTTGCCTTTTAGCTCTGTGGATACCTTGCTTAGCCAGTAGTACTTAGCAAATTGTTAACCTTTTCTGTGCCTCTGTGTATTAGTCCGTTTCTCTTGCTTATAACAAAATACCTGGAACTGGGTAATTTGTAGAAAATGAAATTTATTGCTTAAGTTTCAGAGGCTGGGAAGTCCAAAGTCTGGGGAATACATCTGGTGAGAGTCTTCTTTGGTGGTGGCTTTACAGCAATGTGGGGGTTTCACATGGCAGAAAATGATGGAAAAGAATGAGAGACTCTTATGTGCTCTCCTTTTAAAGCCCTCAGAACCACGCCCCTGACCACCATTATTAATCTATTCACTAGGCATGGTCCTACAATCTAATCATTTCCTCAAGGGTCCACCTTTCAATTACCATAATAGGATTTCCCACCCTCAACAGTTACAGTGGGAATTAGGCTTATAATATGTGAACTGTGGGGGATACAATTCAATCAGTCCACAGCACTCTGTTCTTATCTGTCAGTGTGTGTGATATTTATTGCTTGCATCATCTTAAAAGTACCCTGGTGAGAATTAGATGAGCTATGGAAAAGTGAGCTGGGCAGCAACCACTCCTTTCCTCTGCTGCAGGTGGGCTCCACCATCATGCCCATGTCCCCGGATGGGCTGTTTCCAGCAGTGGGCATGCACTCGCTGGGTGAGGAGGTACGACTGCACCTCAACGCTGAGCTGGGGCATGAAGACGACAGCGTCATGATGGTGGACAGCTACGAGGATGAATGGGGCCGGCTGCATGATGTCCGAGTTTGTGGGACTGTAAGTAGGGGATATTGGCGTGGTGGGGGCGGGGTGGAGAGCGCTGGGCAGAATGCTTGTGGATTGCTTAGAATGGTGAGTGAGGACAGTGGCTTTTGTGGAGTTTTGGGAAATGGGGGTTTTGGCAGGATAATCTGGGTCCTTGACATGATTCTTTGAGTCCAGATCTGTGTTCTCCTTAGCACTGATTCTCTTGTCTTCTTTTCCTCTTCATTTGAGAACTCAGGTAGTGGTTTGGCCCTTGGAAGGAGCAGAAGTTCTCCTTTGCCTTGGTTCCTTCAGCTCTGATGCCCTCTGCTGCCCTGCACACCTGCCTGTGAGGGGCTGGGGGCTGATTTGGAGGCAGGATTCCTGGATCCCCCTTTTGGCTTGATCCAGTTCAGCTGGCCCAGGCTTTCCATCCACAATTCTGTGGGGCAGTTGTGGTCACAGTGCCACACATGTAGGGGAAGGGTCTTTGAGATCTTTTTTGAGTAAGCTTAAAGGTCAATCTTTTCTGTCTTCGCCTCCATCTTATAGAGGATAAGAATGGAAACAGATGAAGATTCATTGAGAATCCTTGAACCTCCAGAGCTTGCTTTATACATCTTCTCCTCATACTTGCTTTAGTCTCTCCCTGGATTTGAAGCTTTCTTGGGAACTGCATGGACCTCAAGAGGGAAATTCTTACTGTCTATCTTCCATACCCTGTGCTGTGTTGGGACTGAATGGAATGGATGCTGAGTCAAGGGTCTGGCCCTGACTTCTACTGGGCTGCTCAGGCCTCCTACTTAGAATTGTCCCTCTGCTGCCCCTTTCTCCTGGCCTGGCCTTTTTCTCCACCCTCTAGCCTTCTCACCCCAACCCGGGCTGTTTTCAACTCAGCCTTTGAGAGCAAAACAGAAGCAGTGGGGGGTGGGAGTGGATTATGAGCAAGGCCCCCCTTGTGGAGATCGAGGTAAATGGAACTCTGAGCAAAGGGCAGAAAGTGTGCCCTCCTGCTGTCTCTGCCACTCTGCACCACCTTCTGGCACTGGGATCCAAGGTCGCAGTGTTGCGAGCCAGCAGGCCTCAGATGCCCACTCCTTCACTCTCGCCTCTTTCTTTTCCGTTTTACCATCATTTTGACAGCATCTACAGAGTGGAACTTGGGACTGAGCCAGGGCGATGTTCCAGCTCTCATCCCTGACCTCTCCTCAAGAGTGTTTTCCTGGCATCCTTTCCCTGCCTGGACCTGTCCTCACTCTGCTCCCAGCTCCTCCCAGGCAATCCTTTCTAATTGATACAGAATCTTGTAGACATTTATAAATAGCTTCCCTCCTCCCCACCCTCCCCCTAGCACCCTCAGGCCACTCACTTGAGAATTTTTTCTCTCTTAGATGTAAGCTGTGAGTTTGGCTCTTCTCTCAGACCTTCACTGCACCTTGGGACAGCTGGCAGGGTGGGAGCCCTACTCACTTGCTGCTCAGGGCAGACTTGGGCATGAGTCTTTTGAGGGACATGCGCCACTTTCTGCTCTTGCCAACTATTCCATCTTTTAACTGAAGGTGACTTGCCTAGTTTCTTCCATCCCCTTGGGCCTTCCATTGCCACGTTGTCTCCTGGCTTCCCACCTCCCGTCCCTTCTTACCACTGCGGTATTTCTGACTGGGTGATCAGAGCTGTGTCAGCTGCAGGAGCCTGGGAGAGGTCATTTGGACCATGTCCATACTTCATCTTTCTGAAGATGTGTAGCATAGCTGTTTTTCCTCTTTGATCTTTCTGTTTTTTTTATGTCCCCCCCTGTTGGGGGTCCTTCCCTGGCACCCCAGACCCCAGCTGTTGTTGAAGCTTGTTTCTCCTGTCCTGGGTGATGTTCTCAATAGAGTGTCCTTTAGAACCATACAGGTGTGGGAGATGCTTTGATGTTACCTAGTGCAGGCTTTCTCGGTGGGGAGACTGTTGGCATTTTAGTTAGGCCAGTTCTTTTTTTTTTTTTAAAAAAGACTGGTAAAGGGATCTTAACCCTTGGCTTGCTGTTGTCAGCACCACGCTCAGCCAGTGAGCGAACTGGCCATCCCTATATAGGATCCGAACCCATAGCCTTGGTGTTATCAGCACCGCACTCTCCCAAGTGAGCCACACTGTCAGCACCACGCTCAGCCAGGCCAGTTCTTTTTTTTTTTTTTAAAAAAGACTGGTAAAGGGATCTTAACCCTTGGCTTGCTGTTGTCAGCACCACGCTCAGCCAGTGAGCGAACTGGCCATCCCTATATAGGATCCGAACCCATAGCCTTGGTGTTATCAGCACCGCACTCTCCCAAGTGAGCCACACAGTTCTTTGATGTGCAGGCCATTTAACATTCTCGGCTCCCAAACACAAGATGCTAGTAGCCCCCTCTCCTTGGCATTGTGACAGTCCAAAATGTGCCCACACATTCCTAAGTTTCCTCTTGTTTTGCTGTTGAAAAAACAGTCCAGGAGAAAAGTTAAGAGACTTATTTCAATGTCAAGCAGCAAATTAGCAGAACTAGGCTATTCATTCTTTGGCTCCTCTCCACTGCCTTTTCCACTGTAATATGTGCTGTTACCTCTACCCAAGCTGCTCTCCTGTGCCCATTCCTCTCCTCTTCCCACTCCCTTCCTCATGAGATGAATCTGGACTTCCTAGACTTAAATTCCCGCTTCCCTGGGATTCCCCTGTCTAGTTTTTTTAGCCAAGGCCCTTCTAGGTGTATTTACTTGGCTGCCTTGGAATTTTACTCCTGGCCCTTTCTCTCAGTTTTGGGGTCTCAGTAATCCTTTCTTCTCTCTTCTCACTGGTTTTTCCTATAAAGAAGAGCAAATTCAATTCCTGGCTCTTTTCTTTCTTTCTCCAACATTTCATTATGAAAAATTTCAAACATACAGAAAAAGTTGAAAAGAGTAATACAGCGAACACCCATATGTTCTTTCCCTAGCTTCAGTAATTATTAATATTTAGTTGTGCTTGTTTGATCTGAGTATCAGATGTGGCTCTTTCTTGAGTGGAATTCTTCCCCTGCTTCCTGTGGCCTCAGTTTCCCCTCCTAAAGAGAACCCCTCCCCAGAGCTCTGAGGGTGCTGAAGAATTGCTGCTATTTGCTCAGGGATGGGAGTGTTGCCCCTCACCTCATACCTGGCCCAGGCCTTGCAAGGTGAGGTCATGTGTAGAGGGTGGGGGACAGAGGGTACATCTGGGGGGTTAGACTCATTTTGTCTTTGTTCCCCATTCATAGCTCCTCTGACAACTCCATAGCAACAGACTACAGTTTTGGTACACAAACGGTGGTGAATGAGGCCCCACCTTCCCAGGGGTCCTCCCCAGACCCAACCCAGAAGGAGACCATGTTGGGGCCTGAGCTGGCTGGTGGGGAGCATGTTCTTGGTTCCTGTTGCAGCTGCTTCTGGGGCCTCAGGGCACTGAGCCTTCCCTTGCTCCTGTCAAGAGGGATTAGGGTCTCTGTTGGCAAGGGGAGGAGGGCGGATATGAGCAGGGGTGAAGTCGCTACTGGTACGAGGGAGGGTGTGGGGTGCAGGAGGCCTCTGCAGTTTCTGCTCTGGGGCATTGAGTCCACATTTTTGGCCTTTCAGGGCTTTGGTGGTGTGTATATGTTGGCAGGGAGCAGAGGGGCTTGAGAGCCCCAAGGAAATGGCTCCCTGTACCCCCACTAAAGATGTAGAGGAATATCCCTGTGGATTGGGTTGCTTCAGGGGGAAAACACTTGGGGTAGCATAATCTGGACAGTGGTCATCTATCCTGATTAGCCTAAGGGGCCATTCTAGTTGGAGGCAAGGGCTGAGATGAAAGGGCATTCCTTCTTTGTGATTGACAGTTGTAGTACAACCCCTTTTTCCTGATTTCAGGAGAGGTGGAAATGTGTATTGATTACCTGCTGAGTGTCAGGCTCTATGCAAAGCACTTGACACTCACTCATTCAGTCTTCTCACACATTTTTGGAGATGCAAGTAGTGTTATCCGTATTTCACTGTTGAAGAAACTGAGGTGTAAAGAGGTGAATGTAACTCGCTCAAGGTTAGTGGCTACTAAGTCACAGGAGCAAGGATTTGAATCTGGGTCTGTTAGGTTCTCTTTCAAACTGAGAGGCATCTGAGGCATAGATTGAGGGATCAGCATCAAGATCTTAGCAGTGCAGACCCCAGGGGCTAAACGTCCTGTCTCCTCTAGGTTCCTAACCACTGTAGTCCAAGGAGGGGGAGGAATGTACTGAAGAAAGGGTCTGTCAGGGAGGCCAAACTTTCCCTCAACTTCTGCTCCTCTGAGTGCTCTGAGAAGGAAGGCTCTAGTGGGCTTGGAGGACTTTGCCCAGGAGCAGGAGAGTAGATCACATGATTTCAGATGGCTCCCACCTGAGAGGTGGGTGGGTCCTCTCTTGAAGAGGGCACATTGTGCAGGGGCCTAGTCATCCTGAATGTCAGCAGTCTGTCTGAATGTTCTGTGGGAGGCAGGAGGGAAGTGGGTTTGAGAGTCCCATGTTAGTGCAGTTCATCCTCCTGACCTTTTAGCTTAAGGAAGCATCCCCACCCTAATCTTAGAACTGCAGCCGCTGCCTTCCTCAGGGCTGAGGCAGAGGGAATGCTTGGGCAGGTTTTTCCCAAGGATCAGGATCTGGATCAGCTGTATTTTGGCTCTGGAACTAGAGAACACTGTGTTTCCTACACTGAGGCCCATTGGATAGAGTGGGTCAAGGGCAGTTGTGGGGTACCCCACCCAGTTCTGCAGTGCTGGGTGGAGAGGGTGGGCTTGGGGCTGCTCTGACTGGGTGGAGTATAAACTAGTTAATGTGTATCAAGCCACACCCCTTCCTGTTTTCTCGGGAGAGATGCAGAGGAGGAACCCAGGCTGAACAGAGAACACACAGAGGATGGTGAACCGAATTCAAACAGTGTGGGCCTGGGTGTGGATTTAGGTGGTCTCTTGTGCACCTTGGGCTTTCCCCCTGATCCGCCCCCAGTTCTCTTTGGAGAGGAGGGCTGGGTGGACTTGAGGTGGCAGGGCTCTGGGGATGCAGGGCTGAGAAGGGCACTTGGTCCCTCTATTCCCACTCTCTGAAGGAAGTGGTAAGGATGTAGGACCAGCCTCTGCTGGAGACTCACACAGGCTTCCATGCTGGTGCAGGCGAGCATCAGTCCTTTCCTGTTCGGGCAGGAAGATTTATGGGGGTGAGAGGCCAGCGTCCGAAGGCTTGCCAGGGATAAGTGGAGGAGGTCCCCAGGGAGCATGCTTTTTTCAGGGCTGCAGGGGTGGGAAGGTAGAAGAAAGTTGAGGGGGAGTTGGGCTAATTAATGGCATTAAGGAATCCCAGGTGATGCTGAAGGTGGTGGAAACAGGGGATGGGGTTGAGTCATAGCCCCACTGTTACCATGACAGCTGATAAATAAATCCTCCCAGATTGGGGGTTGCTGTCCCATCATGCCCAGGCAGGACCATTGTGGGACTGAAGAGCCCTGAGAAGCCATCAGTCATCTCCTCTGTTCTCCTACCTCCCCACCCCTACTCCAGCTTGAAAGAGCAACGAGGGGCCAGAAACAGGAAAGGCTGCCTTCTATCTTCATTTTGACCTCTCCCCTCCCTCATGTTAAATGAAGGCGTAGAGCTGATCCTTCTGGGTTCCTGTGCTCCCCTCAGCATCTCCCTGATCCAGCTATGAACAGCTCTGTTCAAAGCTAAGTAAAACAAAGACCTTGAGAAATTATGTCAGTCCCATCTCAGACAGAATTGGCTTCTAAACTTGTCCCCTTCTCCCAAACATCTGGGGTTGGCACCTAACTTCTGCATCTTTCTGTCCCCATTAGGTCCCCTGAGAGAGTCATAAGTTTCCTTTCAGCTTAGTCTTTACTTCTCCTTTTCCTTGTATTCAGAGTCACTAGGGCAGACCTTTCCCAGCAGGGTTATTCAGGGAGGTGATGACCTAACCGAGGGCCCTTTGGGGGCTGTGCTGCTCTCCCCTGGCTCAGCACGGGGCTCTTCTTGCTCATGCTGTCCCCTTCACTGCCCTGCCCCATCCCTGTTTCTCCATGCCTGCCCAGAACTTGGAGGCCACATTGTGCCTCTAGGATCCTTTCCCTTCCAGCCAGAGGTTTTTTGTTAGACTCAGGAAACTGGTCTGATTTGGAACCATGTTTCCAGGTGGGTGCCGGTATGCCCCTGACTCCTACCTGGCTCTTTCCCCACAGCTGCTGGAGTACTTGGGGAAGGGCAAGAGCATTGTGGATGTGGGGCTGGCGCAGGCCCGGCACCCACTCAGCACCCGCAGCCACTACTTCGAGGTGGAAATTGTGGACCCTGGAGAGAAATGCTACATCGCCTTGGGGCTGGCTCGGAAGGTGAGCATGAGTGCTGGGTGTTTTTGCCTGCTCAGCTGCTCAGCTGGGAGGCTGTTGGGATGGGGTCAGGAAGCTCTTGGGGACTGGGGGCAGGGAGTGGGCAGGCTGTGGAGCAAGAATCTTAAGCTGAAATAGAACGTGGATGTATGTGTCTGCTGTGTAAGAGTACAGACCCTGTGTGACCAAGGACCTGAGAGTGCATGACTGTACCACACACACTGAGGCCTGGGGCTGGGGGCGGGGCGGCCTCTGGCTCTGGAGCTGAGCACCTTTCTCACCTTCCCTGGTTCCCCTGCAACCCCAGTGCCTGCTGGATGTGAGAGGCTGTGGGGCAGGTGGGCAGCTATCTGGGTTGTAGCCTGTTCCAAAAGATTGAAGATTCAGGCGCCACTCTCTTCTGTTCACATTTTTATGTGTGTACCATAGATTTTCTTTTTTCTTCTTGGTGCAGGATTATCCCAAGAACAGGCACCCTGGCTGGAGCAGAGGCTCTGTGGCTTATCATGCAGGTGAATAGAGGGCTGTCCTGGGGAAGGTGGGATTGTGGAGGAATGTAAAGGCATAGGGACATCCATTTTCCTGGTCTCCTCACAAATGGCCTCTTTCCTTTCCCTGCTATATCTGATTTTCCCTTCCCAAGCCACTTGTGCTTTCTCCTCATCTATGCTTTTCCACCTGGCCTCGAAAGCCAGGGGAGCAGGACAGGGGTGGAAGATCTGGGCCCAAACTGGACCTTCCAGGCCTCTGAGTTGGCTCCCTCTGTGTTCTTCCTGCAGATCCTGCAGATTCTTCATTTTCTTTTTTTGGTCTGCTTGGTTTCCTTTAGGGCTTTCTTTAGAAGAGGGCCTTGAGTTCCTGGTCCTGTGCTGCCCTCCCCTCTTCTTAATGCTCATTTCTCCCCTAGGGACTCTTCTCCTCTCTCCCAGCCAGCACCCTGAGTGGGTTTCCCCTTTAGCTCCTCAAGCCGAAGGTGCCCCCTTCCCATATCTGTCTCTCCATCTATGTTTCATCTTGTCCCCTCCCTTCCTCTGAGCCAGCAAGGGGGTAAGGAAGTGTTCAGCTTTGAGCAGGGGCTGCTCTGGGGGGTGTAGTGTCAGCCCCTCCTACTCCAAGTGTGTGTCCTCTCCCCTCCCTCCAACAGATGATGGGAAGATCTTCCATGGCAGTGGTGTGGGGGATCCCTTTGGGCCACGCTGTTACAAAGGGGACATTATGGGCTGTGGAATCATGTTCCCTCGGGACTACATTCTGGACAGTGAGGGTGAGTGGGGTGGGGGTGGCCAGCCAGGCTGCCCAGGGCAGGGGGTGGGGGAGAACCGCAGGAGCTCAGGTTTCCTGGTCTCCTAGGAGACAGTGATGACAGTTCTGACACAGTGATCCTGTCCCCGACTGCCCGGGCCGTCCGGAACGTCCGGAACGTCATGTACCTGCACCAGGAGGGGGAAGAGGAAGAGGAGGAAGAAGAAGAGGAAGAAGATGGGGAAGAGATAGAGCAGGAGCATGAGGGCAAGAAGGTGGTGGTGAGTGGGGGACTTTAGGGTTGGACTAGGGTTCTTGGGCCACGGCAAGAGCCCGGTGTTACTGGGGAACAGAACTCTGAGCCAGTGTAGGAAAGAGGGGAAGGTCTGGCACCGCCCTTGGGAGTGTTGGGAGTACAGGAGCTGCTGAGATGGGGAGACTGCGGTTGGAAAGCTGTTTCCCAGCCTCAGGGCGCCCTCTTGTGGTTGCTTCCTGTGTCACCCTTGGTGTCTCCTCCAAGTGCATGCCGGGAGTGGGAATGATTGGGGTTCAGGCTAGCGTAACTCCAGCATCCTCCTAGAAGAGGCCAGAGCCTGCCTGCTCCATTCTTCTCTCCACCTCCACCCTCAGGTTTTCTTCACCCGAAATGGCAAGATCATTGGGAAGAAGGATGCTGTTGTACCTTCTGGAGGCTTCTTCCCTACCATTGGAATGCTGAGCTGTGGGGAGAAAGTCAAAGTAGATCTGCATCCTTTGAGTGGCTAGGGGCTTCTCCTTCAGACCTGCCCCTTCTTCCTCTCCTCACCCTTTTCAGGACCAGGTATCCAGTTTCTGACTTCCCTGAGAATTTGCTTACCCAACAGGCCCTAGGGGGTGCATAGTCACTCTGCCTCCTACAAGCTCAGGCTCCTGTCAAGCTCTTCTGTGCCCACATTTTTGACCTGGTGCTGCCCCTTTTATCAGTCCCTGGACCCGAGTCCCTGGTTGGACAGGAATAGGCCCACAGCAGTGTTAATATGTGGTTTGGTTGCACCTGCTTTGGTCAGTGGGCTACTGGATCTCCCTTTCCCTCACTGGCCCAGTGTATGTGGAGAGGAGCAAGCACCCTGTCTTAGCTGCTAAGGCATGATGCTTTGCAGAGGGCAAAATAGAAAAAGCCCCCTCCCCTACTTACTGTAGTATTTCTCCTTGAATCCTTTTTTGTACCTTGCCCTCATTGTGTGACCCAATTGCTGCTGTCATCCCCCTGGTTGGACTAGGGGGCCTATCTTGGATCATCTCTCTCCTTTCACTGGCTGCTGCCCCAAGATGACCCCTCTAGAGTTTCCATTCTTTGCCCTGAGAGCTGGCTTTCTCACCCTTACTGGCTTAGGCACCATAGTCCCACAGAGAACCTGAGTCTCTGGCTGCTCCTCTTCCCACTGTACATACACACAGATGGGTGCCCTTACATGTTTAAGAGAGAGGGGCTATGAGATGGTGGGAGACTGGCGCCTCTGCTCCTCTCTTCCTCCTGCCTGGCACCTTTGTCTCTAGTTCTCTGGGATGGAGCTTAGGCTCTGGGGCATGTCTCTTCTACTGTGGCAAGGGCAAGACCCCAGGGCCTTAACCGAGTGAGCCCAGAGGGGCAGCTTGGCCCCTTACTCCCCTTGACCTGCCCGCACCCTGCCCTGTGCCCCAGCTTGCTGCTTGTGCCAGTTGCCTGTTTTGCTTCAGTGTTTGATTGTAACATTTACATATATCCTCCCCACTGAGCCCTCATATCTCCTTCTACCCCCTTGACCCCTGAACCCCTCCTCATAACAGTGACTTCTCCTGGCAGGAAGAGGGAGCAGGAGCTGTTGGCTTTGGTTTGCACAGAGTGGGTAGGGCTGTGGGGAAAGAGGGTGAGCTGTTGTGCTGCTTGGCCCTTCTTTCAGGCTCTGCGCTATGATGTATGAAATGTATGTACAGACCAGAGATGTTTATACAGCCAATAAAGACGGAGTTTCTGTATTTATCAGTCCAGCCAGAACAGGAATTCTTTCCAGTATCCTGGGCTGGAGGGTAGGGGAAGCCAAGGGCAGCTAGCCCACTGAGATGTGGCCCAGTGGGTTGTGGATTTTATATTTTACATGGACCTGGCTGTGGCTGGGGCCTAGGATGCCCCTGGGAGATGTGAGGCTTTGACCTTCCTGTGGATAAGGCATAATTCCAGCTCTGACTGAAGTTTTTAGAAATTCTTTATTATTAGACAAAAATAGACTCTCTTTTTTTCCTCTATTCATGTGATCCCACTCTGATCTCTGCTCAGAGAGGGAGGTAGAGGAGGCAGTGATTTGCTCCCACACCTCTCCCCTCTCCTTGCCATGCTGGGGCCTGTAGCTGGGTGGAGCTGGCAGGGCCCGATTCCCCTCAAGGGCTGATGTTCTCCTGCAGGTGGGGTTGTCCCGATCTCCTTTAGAGCTCAACTGCTGATGCCTACTCACCCCTCACATGTCCATCTCTGCCATCTGCTCACATGCAAGGTCATCTCATAGGCCCGTCCACTTAGCTTAGCAGGCTGGGGGCAGGGAAGGAGAGCAGTGTCCCAGGCTGATGCTCACTCCCCATTCCTAAGGAAGGGTGCTGGCTCCTGGGTCTCCTGGGTCCAGGCCAGGGGAAGTGAGGGCTGTGGGTGCTGGGAGGGGCGCAGTGTTGATGTGGGCTCTGAGCTTGTGGCCTTCCTTCATTTTCTCTGGCCCAGTAGAACTTTGGTGATGAAAGTGACAATGGCGCCTGCAGGCTGATCTGGGTCAAGCTCCGCAAAGAGGTGACACACGTTCTCCCAGGGGCTTCCTGGCTTCTTGGCCACGAAACCAAAGATCCTAGGGGGACAAAGCCAGGGGAGGGGCCTTAGCATCCCTTCCACAAGGGAATGTAGTGGCCTGGGTGGGCTGACTCAATGCTAGGGGAGGGGAGGATGGAGGTGACCTGATACTCAGAGGGAAGAGATTGGACTGGGTGGGGAAGCTTACTTGGAGGTGGTTCCATCTGGGTTGGTCCATCTGCAGAAGGAGAAGAACTGTGAAGGAGTGTACCCCAGGAAACAGCTACTGAAGGAGGAGCTGGGGCTAGGGCCTGGTGGGACCACAGGGCTGTGGGGGGGAAAGGGTTTGGAGAGAGGGTCACCTCCGGTCCTGAGGGTCAGTGCTGGAGAAGGTGATGCTGTTCACTGGATAATGGCGGCGAAAGAAGAGCCTGCAAGGGGGAGGGAGAAGGTCACACTCAGAAATTGGGGCCCCCAGAAGCCTGGAGTGTGGGTTCCACAGGGGCTGGGCACACAGACTTACTTCCTTTGGTTGTCTGTCAGTGTAATGCCCTGGGCTGAGACCTTGAAATGGACAATGGCAGGTGTCGGGCGGGGGCTGTAGCTCAGAGCTGCAGAGCTGGCCCGGGCCACAGCTTGAGGGCCCGTCAGTGACTCAGTCTCCAGAGAGGTCAGGTAGAGCACACTGCAGGCTATGGGGTGGGAAATGGGTTGCAGAGGGAGTGCTGGCTCTGCCAGCTCCAGATCTATCACCCCCTAGTCCCCTACCCCCCCAGCTCTTGTACTTTCCCCAGCTAGTGCTGTCAAAATACATTAGAATCACTCAGGTGACTTGTTAGAAATGTAGATTCCACAACTCCGCCAGATCTAGAGTTAGAAATGCCAGATAGAGGCCTGAGAATCTGCTTTCTAACGAGGTTCTCCCCTGCCCCCCAACGATTCTCATGTTCATAAGACTTTGAGAACCTAGACTGAGACCCCCTTCCCCACCCCCTACAAATATGGGGCTCCCCTGCCTTCATGGGTTAAGTGTACCTGCCAGGGCCCACCCACCTCAAGGCCTTTTCAATGCCCCATGCCCTGTATTTCAGTGCCCCTCCTTGATGCCCAGGGAGAGGGAGGAAAGGGAGAGGTCTCTACCGGCTCCCTGACGCAGGAGGTCTGCCGCTGTACTCATGTTGGTGGGCACTGGAGCCTCTGGGGTCTCTTCCAGTGGATCTGAGGGAAATGAGGGCCAATGGGAAGGTCAGAAGAGAGAAGCATTCCCTAGGAGCTGAACTCTCTCTGCCATCCCAAGGAAAGGCTGGAAGCCAGGGCCTCTGGATTTTGCCTTTGGCTGCAGGGGTGGGAAGGGCAGATTGCCAGACACCCACCTTTACTGGGAATGCGCAGACAGCAGGGCAGGGAGATTGGGGAGATGGAGTGTTGGGAGACCAGGGCGGACAGGCTGCCTGTGTGGGAAGAGGTGAGGAAAGTCCTGAGGTGCCCACAGATACTCCCAGCTTTCCCTCCCATGATCCTGAGATCCCTGGGCCTCTCCCCAAACCAACCACATGTGGCCTTCCCCAGGCTCCTGCTGCTCACCAAAGTAGGGCTCGCTGGGACAGCCTTTGATCTTCACCCCTTTGGGCCCAGTCTCAATGAGGAAATGGCGGACCAGCTGTTCCAAGGGGTCCCCTGAGAAAAGGGGAGGAGAGGAGAGAATAAGGCTTTATCAGATTCCAGGTTCCCCAGCTTCTTCCCTGATGGGGTTCTTTGCTTAGCAGCAGAGGTCTTTTCCTGCTTCTCCCACAGTGGAGCAGTATGCCCTGCCCATTTTCTTGCCTCTAGTACCTCCTCCACACTGTACATTCTCCCCTCTCAGGTTTGGGCATTCTGTACCTTTTTTTTTTTTTTTTTTTAAAAAGATGACCGGTAAGGGGATCTTAACCCTTGACTTGGTGTTGTCAGTACCACACTCTCCCAAGTGAGCCATGGGCTGGCCCCGGGGCATTCTGTACCTTTCCAGGGCTGGGCGCTGGGTGGGGGCGTAGCCACCTTGAGGGCCAGCCCATAAGCTCCTTGGAATGAATGACTGTCCCTGATGAGGAAGGCCCCAGGGTCCTTGTCCTTCAGCAGGGCGATGGCTGCAGGGTGGGGGGTAGGGCAGCAGGGGGGAGAAGTTTTCACAGTGGCTGACTGAGCTCCAGGCAGCCCTGCTCCTCTGCTAACAAGATCCCTAAGGCTTTTTTGCCCTGACAGCTGGAGTGGTGGGAGTTTGGGGACAGAGTTCACAGGGGCTTTGACAATGTTGAATCTAACCTCTTTGGGCCCAAAGCCCATAGTCATCTACTGGTGAGAGGCTCAGCCCAGCATAAATACAGCTGAGATGGGAGAAAGAGCCAAGGGTTTCAACTAGGATAGGACCTAAATGCCAAGACAGAGGCCCTGGAGGGTGGGGTGGGGGCAGGCTGGCTTCTCACCTTGGTCACGGGACAGGTGCGGCTTGTACCAGAACTTGGATGTGTCCTGGACAAACTTGACATTACTTTGGTTCTCTTGCGTAGGAGGGTCTAGGACAGGGAGGGACTGAGTTCAGACCCCGACCCTGGGGCTCCCCAGTCCCCATGCCACACCCCTCCCTGTGAGAAAGAGTTTTCTTAAGGTGGCCCTAGCTCCTCTCAAGGCCATTATACCTGGGGGTTGGAGGGTGTTATCCAGGAGCAGAGGTGCAAAGGTGACATGGTGACTGGTGCCTCTGGCTGGTGGTGATACCTGCCCTGGGCCCCAGGGTCCTGGCTGTTGCCCAGGCCCCGGCAGGTGGCGTTTCTCTGGAAGTGGGGGCTGGGTGGGGCCACTGGTGTCATAGGATGCAGCCAGGGGGAAGGCAGGTGTGGGTGAGCTCTGAGGTGGCTGTGGGCTGGCCACAAGCCAGGGCATCTGGGTGGGCACAGGGGTGAGGGGGGATCCATCCAAACTGTCTGGTGGGCCTCGAGGGCCCTGCCAGGGGGCATGGCGGAGTCCAGGCAGTGTGGTTGGCACAGGACTCCGAGGACTGGCATTGTCTGAACGGCCCTCTGGGCTCCTTTCCTGGGGCCAGTCATTAGGTGAGCTAGGAGGGGAGGTTGGGGAGGTAGGGGCTGGAGGCTCAGGCCCACTTCTTGCTGGCAGCTCAGGAGGCTTTTCAGTGCCTCCCTGGGAAGCAGGGGACAAGCCCTCCCCAGGACTCAGTCTCTGAGTGGGCGCCAAGGTGGGGGGCCTGGTATCCTGTGGGCGGATGCTGCAGGGTGGAAGGGCAGATGGTCAGGAGAGCCTGCTGTGAGCTCGCCACAGCCCCAGCCTTCACAGCCTGTTTGGACAAGGAAGCACCCAAGCAACCCAGTTCTCTGCCTACCTTTCCTTGCCCTGGACAGGGCTGCTGGTGTGCAGGGGTGTGGAGGGGCCAGACAGCTCTGAAGAGGCACTGCACTGGGCATCTTGGGGAGACCGAGGCAGCGTGCTGTGCCCGCTGGGGCCCTCCCTCCAGGATGCTGGCTCAGGTGACTCTGCAGTGAAGGGGAGGGGTGGGGCTGTGAGCAACATTGGGCCTTTCTGTCTGGCTTCTTTCTTTCTCACTCTGTGCCCCCTTGGCTTCCCACCATCTTTTAGAACCCTCCTCTGCTCTGGACACTCCCCGCTCCAGTGCCCCTCACCTGCAGATGCCAAGGGTCCTGCTGAGGCCAGGTGCCCAGGCAATAGGTACCTGTCCCCTCTCTCCTCGGCAGGGATCTCGTAGGTGAGCTTCCTGGATTGTGGGTAGGGCGGGCTGCCCGGGGAAATGGAGCCAGCCCGTGGGGAGTGGGCGCCAGGGCTGGGATACCCTCTGCCCTCGCCCGGAGATCCACAGCTGTGAGGCACGCGGCCATAGGCAGGGCAGTAACTGGGAACTGCCCCTCCATAGCCGTATGTCACCAGGGCAGGGTACCCTGGGTGCCCATACCTGCCTTCGGGGCACACGGCATAAGAGCAGCCCTCATGCCCTTCCTCGCCTGCCTTGGGTGGCTTCAGGCAGCTGTAGTCAGGCATCGGGGCATGGTGGTGTGCGCAGGCAGGCACTAGCAGAGGCAGGGGGTGCCCGGGCCGCACCGGGTGCAGGAGAGGCTTGCCACCCTCGCTCGCCCACCCCTCTCCAGCCTCCCTCTCCAGCCGCAGTCCATACAGGGCGGCTGTGGGCAGCACCAGCTTCTCCTCACAGGCCGGGCACGAGCATAAGGCAGGCAGCGCAGCGTCCTCCAGGATCACCACCTCCCGGTAGCCTGCGGAGCGGTAGCCGAAGTCCCCGTTGGCGGTTTTCCCCAGCCCCCCCCTCTCCAGCCTCCCTCCCCAGCCGCAGTCCATACAGGGCGGCTGTGGGCAGCACCAGCTTCTCCTCACAGGCCGGGCACGAGCATAAGGCAGGCAGCGCAGCGTCCTCCAGGATCACCACCTCCCGGTAGCCTGCGGAGCGGTAGCCGAAGTCCCCGTTGGCGGTTTTCCCCAGCTCAGGGGGGTAGGGGTACGGCCCCTCGGACAGCGAGCGGCAGAGGCGCCGCTTCTCCACGGAGGCCTCGGCGTAGCCCTGGGGGGCTCCCTCGTAGCCTCCGTAGGCCAGCCGCCGCCTCTCCAGGGTTCCCTCCGGCCGGTAGTAGCCCCCATTAGGGACCCCGCAGGGTTCCCGGTAGCCCTGGCGGCAGGAGCAGTGGCGGCTGAGGCCAGGTCGGTGGCCCGAATACACTCCGAGGTGGGGGCCCCCGCCCGCGGGGGGCTGCTCTTCGTCGTCTAAGATAGCCGTCTCGCGCCCGGCGCCGCGGCCCCCGCCAGCCACTCCACAGCCTCCCAAAAGGCGATCTAGCTCCTGCCGTTCAGCAGCCGTCAGCGGTGGCCGGCCAGGCGACTCGGCAGCTGGCTCTGTGGTCAGCGTGGATGAATGGCCAGAGTCGCTGCTGATGGAGAGCAGCGGGGGTGGGGGAGGCTCCGGAGAGGGCGCTGGTGGGGTCTGGCGGGGGGTCCGCTGCACCTGGGCATAAGGACTGCCGTCCAGGGGGCCCCGGGTGTGGGTCAGGGAGCCTGAGTGGAGAGGAGTAGGGAGAGTGGGCAAGCAGGGGAAAAGGAGAGAGAGAGGGTTATTGAGAGGTCTCTTGGGAGGGCCATCTGCCTGGAGAGGAAGGAGTGCGTTCTCTCCTTGCAAAACCCTGCACCTCCCACCGTCCATAGCCTGCCCTACACACCATCCACACTGTCCTCATGGTGCTGGTTGAAGTTCTCATAGGAGTCCCAGCGCACGGCAGGCTCTGCGGTGTTGTAGTCGACAGAGACCGAGGGGTCATTCCGTGGGGTGTTGCCTATGGAAAGGTCGCTGGGTATTGAGGAGCACCAGAGATGCAACCTTCAGTTCCCAACCCAAACCCCCAATCTTACCTTTCATCTTCTCTGGGCTGGAGGAGAAGACAAACTCCACGGAGGCTTGGAAGGGGAACCTTTCGTCTGTGGGGAGTGGATAGTGAAGAGACAGGCCCCCAGTCCACACCCTGCTTTCCTGCCTGCCTGCCCCTCACCTGGGCTCTGGCCTCCAATGCTACCCGTCTCTGACTCACCAGTCCAGGCTTCATCCAGCTGGTCCTTGGAGAAGGTGAGCCGTGGTCCATGGATGGTGCATGTGTGGAACTGGACTCGGAACACGAGGGTCCGGTCTGTCCCTTGGCCACCCTTGTGATAACATGTTACCTGGGCAAGGGGCAGGAGGCTGGGGGTCAGAGCTTCGTGTCCACTTATGCCTCTTCAGTGCCTCTACCCTGGGACTGCCTGGTCACAGCTTCTGTCCAGCCCCAACCTCAAGGTGACTTCCCCATCTAGCAGATTCCCTTTTTGCCCTCCACTCTGTCTTGAACTGATGACTCACCAAGTGACCGTGTAGCTGGTAGGATACACTACCACCCCCTGCCCCATCCCCAGGACTCTCCTTATTACTAGGACTCCCTCACCATGACGTCGCCTTTGAGGAGAAGCGCTGGCTCCAGGCTGATGCAAAGCTGCTGGGGACTAGGACCTGCAATGTGACTGGCGGGGAGAGAGAATGCAGAGCTGAATCGTTGGCACCACCCTGGCTGCAGAGGTGGCTAGGCATAGTCAGGAGGAAGCTGAGAGATCAGAGGCTGAGCCCTGAGTGAGCGTCAGCTTCCCTATCTACAAAATGCACTCCATGGTGGTAGTAGTTTTCAGGTGCAGTGGTTGGAGCTGGAAGCCCAGGTGTCTGGGGAGGCTGGAGAAGTGGGAGTCCAGGGAGCAGGGAGCAGGGGAGGCCCTCGCCATGGAAGTGTCAGGAGCTTGGGAAGAGAGCACTCACTAGACTCCAGATGTGTAGACAAGCTGCATGGACTGGTAGATTTTGAGGAAGGGCTGGAAGCCTGGAGGGGCAGAGGAGAAGGTGCATGAGGGATGCTGAGTGATGGGTGGCCCTCCCCATGGAGTGCATCTCAGGCAACTCACCTGTGCCAGGTTCAAAGGCTGGCAGCATGGGCACAAGCACATAGTGCAGGAAGAGAGGGCTGCTATTCATTCTGATGGTGCCAGATAGCAGCCCACTGAAATAGCTGATATAGCTGTTTGGGGTTGGGGGGAAGATGTGTCAGGAGAACATGGGCCCCTTCCTCTGCAGGTGTCCTTGTATCATCTCAACTATGCATACCCTTCACCCACCCTGGGAAGGCCTGCCCTTCTCCTCAGTGCTTCCCTCCCATCTTCCAGCTTACCAGAAAGATTATTTAACCTCAATCTCGCTCCCTCCTCAAGGGTTTTGTACTTGCTGCTCCCTCTGCTTAGAAAGCTCTTCCCCCAGATCTCTGCTTCATGTTGTAGAGGTAGGCCCTGATTGTCCTGAGAGTCTCTCTTTATCCCAAGGCTCAACTTTATTTTCTTTACAGAACTTATCACCACCCAAAATGATCTTATCTATTTATAAAGAGGATTATTGCCTTCTACTCCACTAGCATGTAAGCTCCGTGAGAGCAGGGACCTTGTTTGTTCTGAATTCTCAGCACCTGGCACAATGCCTGGCACATAGGAGTTGCTCAATTAAGGTGTACTGCAGAATGAGAGATCTTGGCCTCAGTAGCCATGAAGGGAGCTGCTCCTCTGGTCCATCCCCACCCAGGCTGCTCACCGGCGCTGGGAGGGCTGCAGTTCTGTGGCCACCTTGTCCTCACAGAATTTTCGCATGGTAAGAGTAGCCAGCGCCTGGTCGGCCCTAGGGAGAGCAGGGCCAGTGTGGGGAATTAGGGGCTAGTTTCCAAGCTGGTCTCCATCCTAAGCCCCAGGGGAGGGAGGATATTTGTGATCCACCAAATCTAGAGGAAGCCCAAAGAGGTGGCAGAGAGAACTAGGAGAACCACACATGGCCACTTTATTAGTTGAACTTTGGTTTCCTCATCTGTAAAATGGGGTCAATATGACCATGTTATGGGTTGAATTGTGTCCCCCCCCAAAAGGTATGTATCTCAGAATGTGACCTTATTTGGAAATAGGGTCATTGCAGATGTAATTAGTTAAGATGACATTATATTAGAGTAGGGTGGGCCCTTAATCCAATATTATTTATGTCCTTATAAGAAGAGAAAAAGAGACACAGACACAGAGGGAGAATGCCATGTGATGACGGAGGCAGGATTGAAGTGATGCATCTGCAGCCAAGAACACCAAGGATTGCCAGCCACCACCCAAAACCAGGAGGAGCAAGAAAGGATTCTACCCAGAGCCTCAGAGGGAGCAAGGCCCTATTGATGCCTTGGTTTTGGACTTTTAGCCTTCAGAACTGTGAGACAATAAATTTCTAATGTTTTAAGCCACCTAGTTTGTGGCACTTTGTTATGGCAGCCCTAGGAAACTAACAGAGCTCATCTGCTGGGACTGTAGTGAAGTCCAAGTGATGAAAAGGAGGTGGATGGCCTTGTAACACCAAGGGTTTGGATTCCCATACCAGCCAGCCACCAAAAAAAAAAAAAAAAAAAGGATGTAGAAATGTTAAGTCGATAAGTAAAAGGCTCTCTGAACAAAGAGGTGGGCTCCAAGGGAGATGGGTTCATAAAGAGCCAGCTGTAGGAAGGGCCATTGGGGAAGGGGCTACTCAGGTGCTGGGGATCCTCACCCTGCGGAGATCTTGCTGTAATGCATGTAGGCAGAGACGATGACCCCGAGCTTGCCTTTGCTCCCCTGAGAGACAGAGAGATAGTGATGGGGGGCCTGCTTGGGCCCCAGGCTGAGAGTACCCCAACCCTGTAAACCCAAGGGCCCAGTCCACCTTGCAATACAGTACAACCACGTGCTGCGGGTCAGCACTGAGCCACATCTCCATAGCTTTGCAGATGGAGCACAGCTTGTCCAGGGGTGGGGCATGCAGCTCAGGCCAGCCGAAGTCCTGGACCTGGGGGAGTGCAGGGGTGCAACTGGGGATGGGGACCATGAACAAAGAGAGACGGGTGGAGGTGGAAAAGGGACAGGGTGTAGGGGGCTGGGAGCAAGGTCAGGGGCCTGCTGGTTCATGACAGCCTGAGCACTTTCTTTACCCATACAATGGGCTGATATCTGTTGCACCACATTTTGGGGTGTCTCATATGGGAAAGTTCTTAAGAGTGAAGTAGATGCCAAATGCTACTACTAATTGCTACAAGGAGGCTGGGGGCTTCTGGGGTGGGGGCTCGGTTTACTGGCTAGGCAGGCCATTTTCCTCCTACCTTGGGGTTTAGGCGGGTCAGGTCATGCCTTTTCTCTGAAAGGTTGAACAGCTGAAATAAAGGGAGGGCTTTAGACAGAAGTGACATCAGGCAGCGAGACGCGGTGGAGGTGGACCCCAAGTAAGAGTCTTCCTCTAAAATAAGGAAGTTACTAAAGCTTGGCCAAGGTGTCACAGCCCAGTCGTCTGCGTTCCAGGATTCTCCGCTCGGCTCCGGGCCGCGCTCCGGGCCCCGCCCAGGCCCCACCCTTACATTCTGGCCGCGCCCCTGGAGGCCCCGCCCCCGCTGCTTCGTCAAAGCATGGGTAGTCTCGCCCACCTGGACTTTCCAGCCCTCTCATTGGTTGACTCAGGCCGGCCCCGACCCTCACCAGGTAATTGTCGCGGTGCTTTGATTGCAGCACGTGGGCCAGCTCGCGCAGGTGGCCCCTGTGTCGCTGTTCGTCGGGCCGCGCGGGGAAGGCGGCGGCCAAGATGCGCTCCGTCACGTAGGTGAGGTCCAAGTCCCAGCGCCGCTCCATGAGCGGGTCCAGGCTGAAGCTCCTGAGGAGGGGGTGAAGTCGTTAAGGAACGGAGGGGTGGGGCACCAGAGGTAGCCAGTGTGATGAAAGGGTGCATGGCGGACTGCAGCGGAGGCCTGCGGGGTCTGGAGGGTGTGTAGATACAGAGGGAGAAGTACCGCTTGAGGGCGGGGGGCTGTCCTGTGGGGCTTTTTTCGGGGGGGAACTGCTCTGGGCTGAAGAGTGGGGCCGGTGGAAAGGGGTCACGTGGGAACATCCCTGGCACCCTCACTTACCTGGGCAGAGTGCTGCGCTGCTTTGAGTGGTTCAGAGACTTGGTGGATCCCTGGTGGATGAGAAACCATGTGTGCACATCTCTTTAGGTGCCCCAATTCTAAGCACCCCGCTCCAGAGTTCCATATACTTTTGTTCTCAGGAAACCTAGGTACTTACTCCCAGAGTTACCTGCTTCCGCCCCCCTCCTCCAACATCACCTTACCAGGTGTTCTATGCGCCTGACTGGGGCCGTGTTTCGCCGCTAGAGGGAGATGAGAGAGGAAAAGGGAGTGGTTAGGGCAGGGGCAAGGACCATTCTGGGCTTGGGGATAGTGGGAGGGCATGTCAGTCCCTGTGGGGGCTGTATAGGGTGACCGGAGAGAAGTCCAACCCCCAGCAGGCCCAAGTGGACAAGAACTGCAGAGGGCGCAGACATTTTTCCTTCCTCCTCAGGGTGACCAAACCCACAGCACTTAGTTCAAGGTAACCTCCTGGGGGCTTTCTCCAGAGTCACCCACCCTCTGGAACCAGGTTCCTTTCCGTCCCTACCCCATACCAGGGCACACTCACCAGCTCCGCGGGAGGCAAGACCTGACAGGATGAAGTCACCTGGAAGGAGACCCGAGTAAGGGATTGAGCTCCTGGTGAAAAGGGGTGTCCTGGGCTTAAGGATGCGGTAACCTCTCAGCTTCAGCAAGAAGGTGGAGGGGCTGTCAGCGGATGGGCACAGGCTCCAGCTGAGGTTCCTCTATTTAAGGGAGCCTCCCCTCTGGCCTCTTGGTCTTCCACCTCCTGGGCCCCCCACTTGTTGCTCTTGGCTCTTAGCCCCCTGTCCACACAGACCCCCATTCATCCAGCTGCAGGGCAGGAGTTATATATAGAGCCATGCAGACAGGCCATGGCCAGGGACGGACACTGGCCTCTTTCACCGGGAGACCCCGCCCCTGGGCACACAGCTCCCCCAAGCCAGGTCCTAGGCCCTGCCTGAGACACCCCCTTCCCTGCACCGCAGGAAGAGGACCAGGGAACCGACCCAGAGCTGAGGCTGTCTCAGGTCCCTAGTGGATAGTGGGTGCCATCTACAGCTTACACCTGGAAAGTCCCAGTCTTTTCAGAGCCTGGGACTAGACTCACCCAGGCATCCTGAAGATCCTTCCCCAGAGGGAAGGCACAGCCCATCCGGCTGACCAGTCTTTGAAACCCTGCTCCCCCACCTACCCACCCCACCCTTCCTCCTCCTCATTCTCCTCCTCCTCCCAACCCCCATCCTCTCGCCAGCTGCAGCCTGGGCACAGCACCAAGACAAACGCTGTCTCCCTGTCCACCCGCCTAGGCCAGCCCTCCAGGGGGTGGAGTAGGGTGGTTCTTAAAGGGCCCAGTACCATCCAGGAGGGATTCCCCAATGATGAGAGGGGTGGAGGTGGAGGGATGATGCTGGAGAAGCCTCTTTGGGAGGAAGAAGGGACCCAAGACCCCCCTCCCTCCATCAGGTAGAACCAAGTACCCACCTTTGCTTCACATTTTCTGTGCGTCGCTACTTTGCAGACTGCGGGTGGGGAGGAGAAGGGTCAGCCAGGGGCCTATTGGGGCAGTGGAAGGAGTTGCCCTCCTCTGTCTCCCCAGGCCCTGGAACCAGACCCTGGGACTTCTAGGACTCTAGCTGTATTGGGCTGGCCGGGGTTGGGGAGCAGGGTAAAGTGTGAGGGAAGAGTGGCAATGGGGCCCTACTGCCTGGGCCAGGGAGGGAGCCAGGGGTAATGTTCTCGGGTGGATGGGGGTGGGGAGGACGAGAGGGAGGGAAATCCCCCATTCACAGGTCAGGATGGGAAGGCGGTAGGGAGTACTGGGTCTCCTGGGTTGTGGAGTTGGTGTCTGTCATGGGGAGCCAGGGTCGTTTGAAGGGGGAGGCACATATTGGCTACCAGGTGCCTACCCAGGTGGCATGCATACTATGGTTTATGTTGTGTGTCTGCTGCTGGAGATGTGCAACACAGGGTTCCTGGATGGGGGTGTCGGAGTCACAGACAGAACGCCTCACCTCTGCATGAGACGCCTGGCCCATCGATGGTCACCTTACACACTGCACAGACTGGAGGTTTCTTCCGGAAAACCTTCTCCCGGAAGCTATGTGGCTCAGCTTTCCTAGGCTGAGGGTGGAGGGACAAATAGACAGAGGTGTAAGTTCCCAGCAGGTCCATTTCCAGGACTGGGCAGGGGCCTTGCCTTAACACTGCACTGGTTTCCTCCTTCCTCTCTCCCTATCAAGCCCCGAAACTAGTCCCCAAATTCGCAGGATGCACTTGGCCACAGCTGTTTTAGGGCAGTCGTGGGGCCTGTCCTTTACAGTGTATGGAATCTGACCCCTTGTGTCTGTCACCTTCGCTGGTCAGCTCCTCCCGAAGGGATCACTGAGGTCCCTTATCTGTCCGTGGTGTGTGATGCCCTTGTGGTCACTGCCACCTCAACCCTAGAGCTTTTCTCCTGGTGGATTGGGGGTGCTCTCTGACTTTCCTCCCATCTTGCCCTCCCTAGAAGGCCTGTGTGCAGAGCAAGTGCAGTATGTACATATGTCCATCATGCAGCACCCAGACTGAGCCAGCAGGAGTGGCCTCAGCCAGTTCTGCTCCCCTGACTCCGGCTGTCCCCACGCTCCAGGCAGCTGACATGCCCCTTCCCCCACGGTCAGAACAACATGTTTACTCATTGTGCATTGAGGCGGCAGACAGCAATTGTGTAAGGAGGGGGTTGGCAGTGCTGGAGAGAGAGACAGATAGAGGCATGACATTCAGGAGTGATGGTTAGTTAGCTGCCCTGCTGTCTCTGGATGTAGTGAGCTCCCTGTCACTTGAGGAAGTTCAAGTGGGATTCAAGCACTGAATGAGGTGGGCCAGATGCCCTGTTTAACCTCTTCCCTCCCAGAGGTGCAGTGAGGCAGGAGGCTGGAATGGCCCCTTATGGCCCCGGCCTCAGTCCCATCTGCTCCTATTGCGGATTCACTACTCCCTTTGCCTGGGGACACTTTGTCTCCTTGCCATCTCTTCCACCCATTTTTCTCCTCCTCTTGAGTTCAAACTCTTGCCGCCTCCCTCCCCCAACCCTCCTTAGCTGCTTCTCTTGGGGTAAGACATAAGAAGTGGGGAAAGGCTGTGGTGGGGACTCAGGCAGCACCTCTGGTCTCTTGACTGTCCCTGGAACTCTTCTGGGCTGGACCAAACTTAAGGGATCCACTAGGACACTTGGGTGCATTTTGGCATTAGCAGCATATACAGATGTCAGTTAAAAGCAAACCTCTAGTTTCTAAAGCAATCCCAAGACCTGGCCTCTTCTCTCCCTTTCTTTG